TTTTTTTTAAAAAATAATGTTGATTCTTGAGCTGAAGCTCCATATGCTCAATCAGTGCGGTAGGTACCTTCTTGCACTAAACATGTGTGGATCTTTCCTTGGGTGAAAGACCTTAAGGAATCTCAAAATCTTTGTTATTACGAGCTACTTTTGGTGATTTTTCTTCATCCTCCTCCATTTGTGCTTCAAAGTTTTGAGTTTTCACCCTTATGATAAGATCACAATGTCCAAGAGATAGTTACTTCTGGAACCTGAAGGTCCTGTGCAACCTCAGCTACATGTCCGTTACATTAGGAAGCATTTCTAAATGCCCATATGACTTCTGGAGACTGCAAAGCATGATAAAATTCCCCTTATTATGCTTTAACCGATTTTCAAGTGCATTAGTTGTATCTTCAACTGTATTAACTGAGTTTCCAAATGTTTCATATTATGGTACTCAAAGCATGCTGCTTTCTTCAAAGATTGTCAACTCTTTGATTTAATTAGATTTAGTAACTATTTGTTGGAGCTTGAACCCAATTAAAAGATAAAAGAGCAAAACAAAATACTTGTAAACAATCTGGACTGGTGAAGAGATGAAAATAGAGCAACGCTTGACAAAATTTAGTTGCAGATACATATGCATGCAGTACATGCACCAGTTTGTGGTCAATAGAGTGTCGGAGTTTGTGTTAGCAAGTTTCCTGAGGGTGAAGGACTAAATTTAGGAACAGCCATCAGTGTGTTGGGCAAGGCAATATTTTGCAGCTCTTGGCTGCAAATCCATTTTTTTGGGAAAGGGGTAGTTCGCACTGTCGGACAATAATGGTGATTTCTATAAGCTTGGACGATGTCAGGGTTGTTTGGGTTTAGGAAATAAGAGATTTGGCTGTGGAAATTTGGGGTTTTGGTATAGATCAATGTGGTAATCTAGAATAAAGTTGCTAATTTATTTAGAGGATGTAAGTAAAACTTCTGCGTAAATATTTACAGGTTGTGGTATTTTTTACTTTTAAATTTCTATTAAAATTGTTATGTTGTTGTCGGAAGAGGTAAAATATCTAAAAAATTCTTAATGTCCTCATATGTAATCGGTTGTCAAGGATATAAAGATAGAATATAAAGTAGGGTAAAAAGTGGGTACTGTTGATGGCTGGGAAGGCAGACCAGACTCATAAACATGTTTATGGAAATGTTTACTGAACTGAGGCCGTGCCTGGGCCAGTGTGGGCATAGCTCAGTCCAGCTCACCCTTGTTTAGGGCTTTTTGGGCCGGTAACCCTTGGGACTGAGCCTCCTACCAATCTCTCCTTTGGTGAGTGGAATTACTTTGGTGCTTTTGCTGTGCTTATATGTCAAGACTGTTAAAATGAAACAGCACGTTTTTATGGAGGAAGTAACAGTATTGAGCAGGGATCCTGAATATCGCGAGCAAAGTTGTAGATGGCGTTGCTTATCGTTGTGGTTGTTAGCTTATCATGAATTGTTCCGCTATTCCTTTCTTCCAAGTGAATATTTTCAATGAAGTACGTTGTGTTCTGGATGATAGATTTGTTGGAATACTGAGATGCTTAGTGTGTTTTCTCATCTTTTTCTCTGCCTTCCTGTAAGACGATGCCTTTGGGTGTTCAATGCAGATGCATAGAGCTCGAGCACGTCTGAGGTTGATTCTTCTCAAGAAAAAGGTATGAGATTTTACATTTATAAACTGGG